GGGGGCTATAGGGCAGAGGGGCAGTGAGGGATCGGGACAGGGGGGTTGTGGGGGTTATGGGGCAGCGTGGGGGCAGGGGGATGCCGCTGGCCGGGCTGGGGGTCCTTCTGCCACCGCCGGGTGTCGCTGGCTGCTGTGACAAGGTGTCACAACCCCGGTACCCGCACAGCCCCCATTCCCTCCTCTTCCCCCCAGGGAGATCCCACAGCCCCTGGGGCTTGATGAGACTTTGGGGGGGGCACCCAAGACTAATGTGGGGCTCCTCCCCAGCTGCCCCACAGCACGGCTGGGCACGGGGCTGCGTCGGGGCTCCCTGCCCTGTGCACCCCCCAGGGGAGACAGTGTCCCTGCGCCGTGCCCTGACCCCGAGCTGCCGCAGTTGCTGGTGTCACCGTGTGGCTCCTGGGGCATAACCCCCCTTTTTTGGTGCCACAGGTGCTGATCCCCGGCTGCTCCCCAGCGTCCTCCTCCACTGGCAGGGTCGGGGCGGCCTCAGCTCCACCGGGGCCCCGCAGCCATGTCCACCTTCCGGCAGGAGAGCGTGGAGGACTTCTATGAGATGGGGGAAGAGCTGGGCAGGTGAGAGACATCCCGCCACCGTGCTTGGCTGGGGGGGCTTCCCTGCCTGCACCGGGCTGGGAGCTTCTCCTGTGGCCCTTGTGGTGTCCCCTGTGCCGGTGACATCCCCTGTGCTGCCTGCAGGCAGTGGGTCTCGGGGCTGTGCCAAGAGTTAAAAAAAAAAAACAGGCGTTAATTAACATTTAAGTCGTTAGGAGCTCCCTGCAGAGCTCCCATCCCGGGTTTGGCCAGGGCTGATGGCCCTTCTTGGTCATTGGGTCACTGCCACCCAGTTCTGCGCCTGCGGGACAGATTTGGGGATGAATCACTGCATGCAAACAGGGTTTAATCATCCGGGATGCGGCGGTGGCGGGGCTGTGGGCTGCACTGGGATCCTCCAGCTCTGCCTCAGCCACGCCAGCCCGGTGCCAGCATCGACTCAGGGACTGCCACAGCCATGGCTGCCTGGGCACGGGGCTTCTTGGGAAATAATTGTGCAGTGGAAAGGTTTTGGGTGGGTTTAGTGGTTTTTTGTTTCAAAGGGGAGGAGCTTCCAGGGGCTTGTTCCAGGTCCCTTTGGGTTGCGCTGTAGCTGCCGTCTGGTGTGTCCATGGGGATGGATGTAGTGCCCGGGGGCTGGATCCCTCCTGGGTGAGGCTGGTCTCTGTCCCTGGGGGGCTCTGGGTGGCCCCGGCCACGATCTGGGGACGTGTAAAGGAATGTTGGGTCCGGAATCGTGCGGAGGCTGGTGATGGAGACTGGTGACGGGGACCGCACGTCACCACATACTGGTGGGGATGGCCAATGGCCGGGGCAGCGGGGAGGGGACGGAGCAGCTGGACGGAGGATGTGGTACGGATCCTGTCCTCAGGGGAAGGAGTTGAGGGGCCCTTGTGCATCCCAGCAGAGGGGTCTCGTCCCAGCAGAGGGGTCTCGGGGGGCGCTCGTTTGGGGCAGGGAATGTTTTGGGACAAGGTTGGGATCCTGCCGTAGCGGTGACTCTGGTGTCAGCAGGACCTGGCTCCTGGAAGTGCCTGTGGTCCCAGAGCCCTGCCTTCCCCCAGCCCCTCACCCAAGCAAGGTTTGAGCTGTTGGTTACTCTTATGTCAGGCATTTTCCCCCCTACCCCTCCACGGTCCCATCGGAACTTTATGGTCTCCTGGGACCGCCGGGCTCTGAGGTTTGCTCTCGGGAGCAGCCCAGGGGCTCCTGGCTGGAAATGGGGACCGATGACCATCTCCCATCCTGGGTGGTCACAGCAGCACCTGAACAACCCGGGGGGGGAGGTGAGAATTCCCTTCCTCCATCCCAGGCAGCGCTGGGGTTTACACACCAGCTCCAGGGGTGCCAGGGGGTGTAAAACCATAGAATCATAGAATTGCCCAGGTCGGAAGGGACCTCCAAAGGCCATCTAGTCCCACCTCCCCGCAGTCAGCAGGGACACCCCCAACTAG